CCTGCGCACTCGGTGTTCGTACCTTGCGCACTCGGTGTTCGTACCCTGCGCACTCGGTGTTCGTACCCTGTGCACTCGGTGTTGTACAATGCGCACTCRGTGTTCGTACCCTGCGCACTCGGTGTATGTACCCTGTGCACTCGGTGTATGTAGCCTGCGCATTCGGTGTTCGTACCCTGCTCACTCGCTGTTCGTACCATGCGCACTCGGTGTTCGTACCTTGTGCACTCGGTGTTCGTACCCTGCGCACTCGGTGTTGTACCATGCGCACTCGGTGTTCGTACCCTGTCTACTCGGTGTTGTACCTGCGCACTCCGTGTTCGTACCTTGCGCACTCGGTGTTCGTACCTTGCGCACTAGGTGTTCGTACCCTGGGCACTCGGTGTTGTACAATGCGCACTCGGTGTTCGTACCCTGCGCACTCGGTGTTCGTACCCTRCGCACTCGGTGTTCGTACCCTGCGCACTCGCTGTTCGTACCATGCGCACTCGGTGTTTGTACCTTGTGCACTCGGTGTTCGTACCCTGTGCACTCGATATTGTACCATGCGCACTCGGTGTTCGTACCCTGCGCACTCGGTGTTGTACCATGCGCACTCAGTGTTCGTACTCTGCGAACTTGGTGTATGTAGCCTGGGCACTCGGTGTTCGTACCCTGCGCACTCGGTGTTCGTACCCTGCGCACTCGGTGTTCGTACCACACCTTCTCAGGATCCATTGGTCATGCTTCAACATGCGCGCAAACGGCATAAAAATTAAGTTGATATAAAGAAAGCTCCAATCACTAAATAAAGTCGATTGAAACTCAACATTCTAAAAAATCTACACTAAAATCTTTAAGAACTTTCAAGAATTTATTTAGGTATTATTTCAAACATCTAGAAACACTTTTCTTTTTCATTTGCAATTCATTATTCGAGATTCATTATTCTTAGATCATATTTAAGTCAGTGAATTTGAGTACGACTTAGTATTAAAATATCTCTCTACTGTACCCATTCTCTTGGTTTTCGCAGCACTTCTAACACCTTTTCCTCTCGACTTCCTTCTTCTGGGGTCTGCATGTACTCCCAGCATGCATATAATGGCAGGGACATTAAAATGCTCTCTATCCGAGACCCTGGTGTATAGAGGCCAAACTTTGTTCCTCTGTCATAGACAAGATTGAATTCTACGTACCTGAAAGATAACGAAATATAGTATCAGTACTGTGATGATATATGTATGTATCTTCCTAGCTTCCTTCCTTCCTAGCTTCCTTCCTTCCTAGCTTCCTTCCTTCCTACCTACCTACCTTCCTTCCTTCCTTCCTTCCTTCCTTCCTTCCTTCCTTCCTTCCTTCCTTCCTTCCTTCCTTCCTTCTTTCTTTCTTTTATTCATACAAATACCTTATTGATGGATGGACACTATGCACTGTGGTTGATGTGCTGTTATTTGCCGTATGGTGTAATGTATTACTATGCTATGTTGTGCTATTTCAAGGGTTTTACCAAGGGTTATAATTCAGTCTGTGGGTTAGCTGTTTTGATCAGCCCAGAGGATGTTTAATGCTAAGATTTCAAGATTATTACCTTCCTCGTCGTATCAACTGCCAATGGCGTTCTTCATCAGTGTATGGGTCATCCTTGTGCTTTTCAACAATGGGAATGTATGCTGGGATGACAGAGGCTGCGCAGTCTTCAACRAAGCTAAACAGTTTCTCTTCTGAGGGTTTTTCAAGGTCATCAAAGAAGATTCCTCCAACACCTCTGCTTTCACCTGTGGATGATGTACAATAATTATTCTGATTTTGTTTTCTATTATGGCTTGACTTTATAGGTTGTACAATAAATAAAAGAAAGAAAAGAAGACAATGTCAGTTGAAGGAATAGATGAATGAATTGTTGGGTTGTAGGATCAATGGAAGGATGGAAGGATGCAAGGGAGGGAGGGA